AAGGTGAGGAAGATTTATCCACCTACAAACAAGATCATAAAACCGAACCGATAAAATTCCATCATAAAATCAAATCGGTTAAAATGTTTAGTTGATGACTTTCCTTTTAACCATAATAATTTTGAATCAAGATGAAAAAATATATCGCTCTCATTGGGTTGGTGTTCACCAATCTATCTATCAACACCTGTTTAGCTGATTCAGTGAGTACGGCCTCACCTAGTGTGAATGTGCCCGAAGTCTCAACATTAACCGAACCCATCACCCTGAATCTGACTCAAAGCGCACAAAAAGGGATGCGACGTTTATTTGTGCAAGTCTCTAAATTTGGTGGGCAAGCCGTTAACTCTCAGCTTTTGGTAGACACAGGTTCATCGGGCATATCCATTAACGCTAACCAAGTTTTCCCGAGTAGCCTTTACAACAGTGATGGTTTTGTGATGAGTGGCGATACATTGGATTGGCAAGGTATTACGATTACCAATCAAACCAAACAAATTCGATATGGCAGTAGCGATAACGAAACAATACAATATGGCAACATCGCTTACGCCAATATTACTTTTGGTGATCAGAATCAACAGCTTACCACCACTAAAATTCCATTTTTTGTGTATTATAAAATCGAAAAAAATGGTCAAATAGTTGATCAAGGCGTTAACCCTGGTGTTTTTGGCATTAATACCAAAATGGATCAAGCCGACGGCAAAATGTTGCCAGCCATCCCCAACTTCAATTATGCGCAAGGTTTACGCAGGGGGTTTATTTTAAATGCCGTTGGGGATCAATGGACACCATGTGATTTTACGAGTATTGGCGATTGCCCAACTGTACCAGCCCTAACCATTGGCCTAAATGAAACCAATTTAGCCGATTTTGCCAATGGTACGGTCAAGCTCCTATCGTATGGTAATCCCCTGATTTATCGACCTGTTTTAGAAGGTAGTTTAACCGATAGCAATGGTAGCAATCCGGTTAATATGATGTTTGACTCAGGCACATCAACCTTTGGCTGGGTCGTCCCCACCGTGGACACTAGCAACCCGATCACGTTCACAACAGGTAAATCATTTTCTTGGACATTTACGGTTCCTCCTCGCTTACAAAATCGCTTTAGCGGCAACACGAGTGCTGGTAATCGTAGTTTAATTGGAATTGATTTTTTTGAAAATCATAGTTTATTCATGGATTTTGATCAGGGTTTGGCTGGCGTGAAGTAATTTCTTAGTTGATAACAATCGTCAATGCGATACAGCGACGAAGACATGGCCAATGTCAGGTTAGGAAAGCGTAAGACCATTGTACAACCTCTCAAAATTGGCAGGACGCCATTTCGGCGATTACTAACATCTGTTGTGAAACAATAGGTTATGAAATCGACAAATCAAAATATCTTCTGAGAGTAACAATGCAATGATTCTCTTTGGTAAATATACGACAATCTACGCTCAAATTATGTTGATTAATACAACATTTTTATCATCTATGCTACAACCAGGACAGACCGAGTTAAGGTTAGTTGGGCGTGGCACAATTGCCAGATACCAATTCTCGATCAAACGTAGCATAGGTAGTTTCTTCGCCTGACCTTGTCAGCTTGATGTCTTGATGTGCACTTGATCGGAAGATGACATGGCCATTTTTTGATGTTGCGTCAACCCAATAAGCATTAACAAGTTTTTGGCCTATAATGGCAAAGTTTGCTTTGCCGATTCGAGCTGAGTTGTTTCAATTTATATTTACTTGCGCTAATTTACATTAAGTTACCTAAAAGCATTGCATCATTGATGTTGGATTAAGCTTAGTTGACACAAGTCTAGCGCAGGATTGGATGAAGACCAGCCTGATGTTTTTTAAGGGGTTATTTTTGTTGTTGCCAATCAGGGTGGTGATTGCAACTCACTGTTTTATTTGTTTTTTATTTTTAAAAGGAGTTGATTGTGTCATCAAAAGCAGCTTATTTCTCGCACAATCCCAAAAAATCATTCGCCTATTGCTTGGCGCTTTGCTTTAGCCTTGGTCTTGGGAGCGCGGCTTTAGCAGACACCAAAATTGCCGATACTGCAGCTAATTTTGGCTCCGATGCTACAAAAAGAACACCAGATGGAGTGCTGGAGGTGGTCGGTGGAAGTGCTACCAAGCCAATTTTTGTGGCGCGACCTGCGACCAACGATACCGATTCAGGCCAAGTGTCAGCGGCCAGTGCTAATACGTCGTTGATTATTCGAAATAATGGCAACGTTGGGATAGGGACGGCTACACCAGCCTCACGCCTCCACACCCTTAGCAGTGCTAGCGAAGTAGCTCGATTTCAATCCAGTAGCGCTACCTCACAAGTCTGGCTAGTTCCCAATGCAGGTGAATGGGCGGGACTTTCAGACAGTGGTAGCAAACTAGATTTCATCCGTGGTTCTGACTTGGCTTCAACCATGACTATGGATCTTGGCAATAGCAGAGTGGGTATAGGGACGCAGGCACCCGAAACAAAATTACATGTCGTTTCTTCTTCAGCCGTTTCAAACAGGTTTAGCTTGATTGACGCCACACCTGGAGTAAGTGGTCTGGTCATATTAGCATTGAGAAGCAACTCTGCCAACACCATAGGCAATACCGCTTTCTTGGGGTTCACCAATTCCGGACCAGGCGGTGGCGGTGCTGCATGGGGCATCGGTTCGATACAAACGGCCAGCCCTGCAACAGCTAACTCAGAAGATTTTGTCATCAATAATTCAACCGGTGGCAACTATATTGAAAGAATAAGAGTAAAAGGCAGTACTGGAAATGTCGGGATAGGGACTAATACACCAGGCTCAATGCTGCATGTTAATGGCGGCAACTATCCATTACGACTCACAAACTCATCTAACCCTAATACTCAGTTCTGGCAAGTCGGCGCAGAAGGAGGAACAAACTCTTTTGTTGTTTATAATCAATCAGCTCAAGGTGCATTTCTCGCCAATGGTGGCACGACTTGGACAGCAAACTCTGATGAACGCCTTAAAAAAGATATAACACCCATAACCAATGCGATGGATAAAGTAAACTCGTTAAGAACAGTGGTGTATACCTTTAAAAATGACCCTCTAAAATTGCGTCATCCGGGTTTTATTGCACAAGATGTGCAAAAGGTTCTACCAGAAGCCGTCACTGCACACAATGACGCACAAAAAACGTTGGGGATACAATATACAGAAACCATCCCATTAGTTGCCGCCGCAGTGAAAGAGCTCAACGCTAAGCTCGAAGCCAAAAATGGTGAAATTAGCGAATTAAGAGACGAAGTAAAAGCATTAAAAGCAGAAATACACAAACTCATCAAATAATCATCGTCATCCGTAAAATAAAAAGGTGCTTGCAAAGGCACCTTTTTACATCCAACATCACCACCACTTAAGACAAGAGACCATTACCTCGAATTTAACCGCGCTGCCAAAACCTCCTCTCGGCCACCAGCTAACCTACTCAAGACAGATTAATTTTGCCTCATTTCCAATGTATCATTTTCAATATATTGAATATAAACAATAAAAAAACAACTACAAATAAAATCGTGATATCAAGTTGCTCTATAATAAGACCTATAGCAAAAATTCTTCTAATCAGGTCTATTATCACAAGAGGAGCACATGGCAAAATCAATACCAGAGGGCAAATACTTTGAGGCTTCACCAACCTTGACTATCCATTACCATGATCTCGGTCAAGGTCCTGCGGTGATGTTTATCCACGGCAGTGGTCCTGGAGCTTCTGGCTGGAGTAACTTTAAAGCTAACAAAGACTATTTTGTAGCGCAAGGTTACCGAGTTTTATTACCCGATTTGGTGGGTTATGGTTTATCTAGCAAACCCTCTGATGCGCAATATACCCTTGATTTTTTTATTGATCCGCTCGAAAAACTGCTTAAACACCTCAATATTAACCAAGTGACTTTAGTGGGTAACAGTTTAGGGGGAGCCATTGCGATGCAAATGGCTTTAAACCAACCTCAACTTGTTGATAAATTAATACTCATGGCACCTGGCGGTCTTGAAGAACGCGACGTGTATTTTCAAATGGCTGGGATTGCAAAAATGAGCGAGCTATTTGCTAAAGGCCCTCTAGATTTTGATCTGATGAAGTCCTTATTGGCATTACAAGTCGTTGATGCATCGATAGTTAGTGATGAAACGATTGCCGAGCGCGTCGCTGTTTGTGCAACACAACCCAAAGAAGTGCTTTCCACCATGAAAGTGCCCAATATGTCTTCTGAACTCCCTCATATTCAACAACCTATCTTAGGTTTTTGGGGTATTAATGATCAGTTCACCCCCCACACGGGCGCTGAAAAAATCCTCAAAAACTGTCCTAATAGCCGTTTTGTTATGCTTAATCAATGTGGTCACTGGGTGATGGTTGAACACCGCGATGTCTTTAATCGCTACTGTATCGATTTTTTAAAAAATAATTAAACTGACGTTTTGCCGTCTCTAACCTAAATTCATCATGCTAACTCCAGATATCCAACACCAATTGGCACGTAACCTCTTTAATGCGTTGCGTAGCCGTCAGACGATTGCCCCCTTAACAACGACTTATCCTGATATCACCATTGAGGATGCTTATCAAATCTCCTTAAATATGTTACGGTTACGTGAACATGAAGGTGAAAAAGTGATTGGCAAAAAAATAGGTGTGACCAGCAAACCCGTACAAGACATGTTAGGTGTCCACCAACCTGACTTTGGCTTTCTCACTGATAAGATGTGGGTAGAAGACGGTGCCACGGTCAGCCTAAGTGCTTATGCCTTAATTCAACCCCGTGCTGAAGGTGAAATTGCCTTTAAGCTCAAAGCCGATCTTCCCACCACCCATGTCACGCCAGAAATCGTCTTAGCTGCGACCGAATGTATTTTTCCTTGTTATGAAATTGTTGATTCTCGGATAGAAAACTGGCAAATCAAAATCCAAGATACCGTAGCTGACAACGCTTCTTGTGGTATTTTTTGCGTCGGCGCCCCTTTTTATGATTTTCACAAACTGGATTTAGCTCAAGTCACCATGAAATTGTTTAAAAATGGTGAGCATATTGCCAGTGGAAAAGGTGAAGCGGTACAAGGACACCCTGCACAAGCCATTGCTTGGCTTGCTAATACCCTCGGACACTTTGGCGTAAAATTGGGGACGGGAGACATTGTTTTATCAGGCTCTTTAGCTCCGCTAGTCCCTATTGTTGCAGGCGATCGTTTTGAACTCGACATGCCTATTGGTCGCTCGAGCTTACACTTTGTTGAATAATATATTGATTGATATTTATTATTAACTAAATTTTGTTTTAAAAAGGATTTGCCATGGCAAAAATTAAATGTGCAATGATCGGTTCGGGTAATATCGGCACGGACTTGATGATGAAACTGATGCGTAGCGACTGGTTAGAACCGGTTTGGATGGTCGGGATCGATCCTGAGTCCGATGGTTTAGCGCGCGCTAAAGCAGCAGGTCTAAAAACCACTCATGAAGGTGTTGACGGTCTAGTCCCCCACATGAAAGCAGACAACATTCAAATTGTTTTTGATGCCACTTCGGCCTATGTACATGCTGAAAACTCACAAAAAGTCAATGAACAAGGCGCGCTGATGATCGATTTAACACCTGCTGCCATTGGACCTTTTTGTGTCCCCCCCGTCAATTTGGAAAACCTTGGCAATACGATCAATAATGTCAATATGGTTACATGCGGTGGTCAGGCAACCATCCCGATGGTCAACGCAGTCTCCCGTGTGCAACCTTTGTCTTATGCTGAAATTGTATCCACGGTTTCCTCAAAGTCAGCTGGCCCTGGAACACGTAAAAACATTGATGAATTCACCCGTACGACCGCAGGCGCAGTGGCAAAAATTGGAGGCAGTCCACAAGGCAAAGCCATTATCATTTTAAACCCTGCCGATCCGCCTTTGATTATGCGCAACACTGTCCACTGCTTAACTGTTGATAAACCGAATGAATCAGCAATTACCGACTCGGTTCAACTCATGCTCAAAGAGGTACAAAAATATGTGCCTGGTTATCGAGTGAAGAACGGTCCCGTATTTGATGGTCACCGCGTCACCGTATTTTTGGAAGTGGAAGGGCGTGGTGATTATTTACCTAACTATGCGGGTAATTTAGACATCATGACAGCGGCAGGTATGCGTACGGCTGAAATGTATGCAGAAAAAATGCAAAAGGGTTTGTTTAAGCTCAGCTAAGATTTTAGCGAAATTAAACAAATTTAAGCGAACTTAAGATAAATTGCGATGTTTTAACATCAATAACCGCAAATTAACACCATATAACACCATAAGATTTTAAGGATTGAATCATGAGTAACGTAAAAGGTAAAAAAGTCATTGTGCATGACATGACCCTACGCGATGGCATGCACCCCAAACGCCATCAGATTTCCATTGAACAAATGAAATCCATTGCCAAAGGCTTAGATCAAGCGGGTGTGCCGCTCATTGAAGTCACTCACGGCGATGGGCTAGGTGGCTCATCTGTCAATTACGGCTTCCCAATGCACACCGATGAAGAATACCTAAAAGCCGTTGTCCCTGAGCTCAAAAACGCGCACGTGTCTGCTTTATTATTACCTGGCATTGGTACCGTTGAACACCTCATCATGGCCAAAGATCTCGGTGTAAAAACCATCAGGGTGGCAACACACTGTACGGAAGCGGATGTTTCTGAACAACACATTTCGATGGCGCGTAAGCTTGACTTGGACACGGTGGGCTTTTTAATGATGGCGCACATGATTTCTCCTGAACAAGTCGTTGAACAAGCCTTATTGATGGAAAGTTATGGCGCAAACTGTATTTACTGCACAGATTCAGCAGGTTATATGTTACCCGATGATGTTACGGCACGGATTGCTTTATTACGCGAAAAACTCAAACCAGAAACCGAATTGGGTTTCCATGGTCATCACAATTTGGCCA